GCTCTGTTAGGTTTTCATCAGCGGAAGAAAGCCAGTGATGAGGCTTCACAAGGTGAAGGGCTTGTGGTGAAGGGTAACCAGGAACGTGAAAGAAGCAAATCTCAGAATGAATCGCGTAACAATAAAGCCCGGTCCAAGTCAAGGAAGAAGAAGAAGGATGTCTCTGTCTCGTGTTACAAGTGCGGGAAAAAGGGGCACTTTAAACGGGACTGTCCAGAGAAAAAGAAAGGGGATTCAGAGAACAAAGAGGGTGCATCAAAGTCTGCACCCTCTTGCTTTCTGTTTTATCTAGTTCAGATCGTTTAACAGATTCTTGGATTATGGATTCAGCATGTTCCTATCACATGACACCCAACAAAGATTGGTTTGACACCTACAGGTCAGTAAATTCTGGTTCTGTTCTGATGGGTAATGATGCATCTTGCAAAGTTGTTGGAATAGGAAATATTAGAATTAAGATGTTTGATGGTATGGTTAGAACGTTGTGTGATGTTAGACATGTACCGGATCTAAGGAAGAATTTGATTTCATTGGGCACTTTGGATTGTAATGGTTATAGTTACAAATCTATAAGTGGAGTAATGAAAGTAAGTAAAGGCATGCTGACAGTGATGAAGGGACAGAAAGTAGTAGGAAACATTTACAGACTGCTGGGTACTACAATTGTAGGTGGAGTTGCTGCTGTAGAGTCTGAATCAGATAATACAGTCTTGTGGCATATGCGGCTGGGTCATATGAGTGAGCGTGGGATGATAGAGCTTCATAAGAAAAATCTATTGAAGGGTGTCAAGACATGCAAGCTCAATTTTTGCAAATATTGTGTTCTTGGAAAACAGAATAGGGTGCAGTTCAAGACAGCCACACACAATACAGAGGGGGTTCTCGACTATGTTCATACAGATGTTTGGGGACCAGTTAGTTTACTATCACGGGGAGGATACATGTATTTCGTGAGTTTCATTGATGATTACTCACGAAAGGTCTGGGTGTACTTCATGCGGCACAAGTCAGAAGCGTTTGCCAAGTTCAAGCTGTGGAAAGCTGAAGTAGAGAACCAGACAGGGAGGAAGATTAAATGCCTCAGGTCAGATAATGGTACTGAGTACACAGATTCAAAGTTCCAGGAGTTGTGTGAGCAGCATGGGATCAAGAGACACTTCACAGTCCGCAAGACACCACAACAAAATGGTGTAGCGGAAAGGATGAACAGAACGATAGCCGAGAAAGCTCGGTGTCTCAGGTTGAATGCAGGGCTTGCAAAGAATTTCTGGGCAGAGGCAGTGAATATGGCATGTTTCTTGATTAACAGATCACCGAGGGCAGCACTAGATGGGAAAGTATCAGAGGAGGTGTGGACAGGCAGTGAGGTAGACTACTCTGGTTTGAGAGTGTTTGGATGTCCAGCCTATGTACATGTTTCTAGTGAGGAGAGGTCGAAGCTTGATGCGAAGTCTAGACAGTGTATCTTTCTGGGATATCAGAAAGGAGTGAAAGGCTTCAAGCTTTGGGATCCGAAGGCAAACAAGATGGTGATCAGTAGAGATGTGGTTTTTGATGAAAAAGCCATGTTGCAGCGTACTCAGGAAGAAGAGAAACAAGTACCAGAAAACTGTAGCACTAATGACCACGTGGTGCAGGTGGAGCTAGAGAATCATGGTAGAGAAGAGGATGCTCAGCATGTAGAGCGTTCTATCTCAGGTGATCAACAGCATCATAGTATAGCCACAGACAGGCCCAAACGCAATATCAAGCCACCTACCAGGTATGGTTTTGAAGATTTGGTTTCTTATGCGCTTATTACTAGTAGCGGGGATCCTACAACTTTTCAGGAGGCAGTACAAAGCCAAGAGAAAAGTAGATGGATGGGTGCTATGGTGGAGGAGATGGAGTCTCTGCATAAGAACCAGACGTGGGAGTTGGTGGAACTTCCCGAGGGGAAGAGAGCAATAGGGTGCAAATGGGTGTATAAGAAGAAAGAAGCAGTATCAGAAAATGAGGGAGAAAAATTCAAGGCTCGTCTAGTAGCAAAGGGTTACTCACAGAGAAAAGGGGTTGACTATGATGAGATCTTCTCCCCCGTGGTCAGACACACTTCCATCAGGACAGTGTTGGCACTAGTAGCACATTCAGATATGCAGTTGGAGCAGATGGATGTAAAGACAGTTTTCCTTCATGGCGACTTGGAGGAACGGATTTACATGGTACAGCCAGAAGGGTTCAGTCTCCCTGGAGAGGAACATTTGGTCTGTAATTTGAAGAAATCACTTTATGGGCTGAAGCAGTCTCCGAGGCAGTGGTACAAACGATTTGACTCTTACATGATCCGAATTGGCTACAAAAGGTGTGAGTATGATTGTTGTGTCTATGTAAAAAGGCTTGATGATGATTCATTTATTTTTCTGTTACTTTATGTGGATGATATGTTGATTGCTGCCAAGAGTATGAGTGAGGTCAACAAGTTGAAGACTTTGTTGAGTAGAGAATTTGACATGAAGGATTTGGGTGCGGCCAAGAAGATTCTTGGGATGGAGATTCGCAGGGACAGAGCTTCCAGGAGATTATGGCTATCTCAGCATAGCTATGTTGAGAAGGTGTTGGACAGGTTCAGCATGAGTTATGCAAAATCAGTAAGTACACCTTTGGCGAATCATTTCAGATTGTCTACCGCTCAGTGCCCGAAGACAGATGATGAAGTTCATGACATGTCAAAGGTCCCATATGCTAGTGCAGTGGGGTGTTTGATGTATGCTATGGTTTGTACAAGACCAGATTTGGCACAAGCTGTCAGCGTGGTTAGCAAGTTTCTTTCAAATCCTGGTCGATAGCATTGGGATGCAGTCAAGTGGATTTTCAGATACTTGAGGGGCACTACAGACTATGGCATCAGGTTTAGCAAACAACAGAGTGACCCTTCAGTTATTGGATATGTGGATGCAGACTATGCAGGAGACTTGGATGACAGGAGGTCTACCACAGGTTATGTGTTTACTCTTGTGGGAGGACCTATTTGTTGGAAGTCCATGGTACAGCCTATAATTGCACTATCTACTACTGAGTCAGAGTATATGGCAGTAGCTGAGGCTGCCAAAGAGGCTTTGTGGCTTACAGGTTTAGTCAAGGAGCTGGGTGCCCAGCAAGGTGGAGTTCAATTGCATTGTGACAATCAGAGTGCCATTTATTTGCCAAAGAACCAGGTGTATCATGCAAGGACCAAACATATAGATGTGAGGTTTCATAAGATCAGGGAACTGGTTTCTTCTGGTGAACTATTACTTGAGAAAGTTCACACTTCTGAGAATGCTGCAGACATGTTGACAAAGCCTGTTACTACAGACAAGTTTCTAGCACTGCTTGGACTTGATTAATGTCTCTAGTTGCTAGATGGGAGATGCCTCAACTCAGCGTCCCCGGTGGAGTTCTCGAATACATGTCCTCTTTTTTTTTCTTCTAAGGGGGTGAATATTTGCCAAGGTGGAGATTGTTAGAGTATGGTGGCTCATATTTTGCTATGTGCATAATGGCAAGGAGGCAGATGCTGGAGCGGAGTGGAGCCCGCGACGGCATCTGCCTTGCGGGATTTATATAAAGGGGACGCTGATAAGTTGGGGGTGCGGGGGCAACGCCCCCGCGGTACGGTACAGGGGTATTTTTATAAATACGTCCATATTAGGGTTATATAAATACTTAAGATGTAACCCTACTTCAATAAGGAAAAGAACGGCCGCTCGCTCTCGTGGATGTAGGCACATTGTCGAACCACGTAAATCTCTGTGTGTTATTTTCTCCTGCTTTCTTAATTGTTTGATTCCTTACTATTAACCATAATTGCTGCACGATCA